AATCTTTCAGTAGTGTATATTCATAATACAATAATAATAATTTTTATTAAAAAAAATATTTATTATGAAAAATATTATTTATTTTTTTCCCTTTTGATTTTTGAGTGAAATATGACCTGGAGATTTCATTTGTGACATTCACCCATTCATAGTCTATATTTAGTATTTTTATATTAAGATTACTATGCGAGGTCAAAGAAGACCATCAGATGTGAGTCAAATATAATTTTTTAAGAAATAATATTACTCCACAGCACTTCTTTCACCACTGTAATGATGTTTCAAGGACGTGTGACAGAATGAGGCTGCCTGATCACAAAGCAATAGGCTCATTTTGGCTGCTGGAGTTCAGAATCGCTGCCAGGGAATGATTATAAAAAGCTTCATGAATCTCCAGCCTCAGAGGAAAAATGGCTGAAAGTGAGACGTATCTTACCTGAATCCCCAGATTTCAAGTAGGAGTCTGCAGCTTGTTTCAGAGTCCGAAACGTGGTTTCATACTGCTCAAAGAACTTATGGCCTTCGATGAACGCCTGTGTGTAAATGAGTACAGTAATGGGAAGATGTTTCATGATATGTCAGCTGAATCTGTGTATATAAAGCAGATTAAAAGAGTTTATTAAATATGCTGGAGGACGTACAATATAATTGTGCAGAAGAAGCTCCACTGAGTCCCGTCGGCCGTATTTAATGATCCACGATTTGAGCTTTGACTCGGCTAGCATGAGAAACGCCATGAGACGATACTTCATCTCCCAGAACTCAAACTTAATCAGATGGACGTGAGATGATGTGGACACAAAATTAAACCTGTGCAAACATGAAATATTAGTAAATATTGCAGTAAACTATGGGATTTTGACTCCTTAGTTTCCATAATTACAGTATATAAAGTTAACATTAAAGTTAACACAAAAAAATGTCTTATTGTGCATGATTCATTATTAGATTGTTTTCCTCAAAATGTAATAATCTCTGAAAATACTTTCTTTTCTATGGATGTAACCATGGCCACATGTGTCAGAAAAATTGTACAAAGAAATATTGTACAATTTTTACATTTTATAAAACTTGCCAGCATGGCATTAAAGTGTTCTGGGTGGTTGCCAGGGCATTGCTATTTGGTTGCTAGGGGTGTTATGTTAGGGTGTTGCTATATGGTTGTCTGGGGTGTGCTGGGTGGCTATTAGGCGTTGATATGTGGTTTCCTGGGGGTTCTGGGTGGTTGCTATGTGGTTGGCTAGGGTGTTTTGGGTGGTTGCTAGGGCGTTACTATGTGGTTGCCTAGGGCATTCTGGGTGGTTGCTAGGGCGTTGCTATGTGGTGTTCTGGGTGGTTGCTATGGCGTTGCTATGTGGTTTTCTGGGGTGTTCTGAGTGGTTGCTAGGTTGGTGCTATGAGGTTGCAGAGTTGTTCCAGATGTCCTGAGAGATTGTTAACACAATGCTATGTGGTTGCCTGAGATGTTATGGGTGGTTGCTAGGGTGTTGCTATTTGGTTGTCTGGGGTGTGCTGGGTGGATGCTATTAGGCGTTAATATGTGGTTTCCTGGGGTGTTCTGGGTGGTTGCTAGGGGTTGCTATGTGGTTGGCTAGGGTGTTTCGGGTGGTTGCTAGGGCGTTACTATGTGGTTGCCTAGGGCATTCTGGGTGGTTGCTAGGGCGTTGCTATGTGATTTTCTGGGGTGTTCTGTGTGGTTGCTAGGGCGTTGCTATGTGGTTTTCTGGGGTGTTCTGGGTGGTTGCTAGGGTGGTGCTTTGTGGTAGCAGAGTTCCAGATGTCCTGAGAGATTGTTAACACATTGCTATGTGGTTGCCTGAGATGTTATGGGTGGTTGCTAAGGTGTTGCTATGTGATTGGTGAGTTCTTCCACATGGTCTGAGTGATTGTTATCCCACTCCTGTGTGGTTGCTAGGGTGTTGCTATGTGGTTGATTACTTAGTGATTACTAAGTTGTCGTGGATGTTTTCTACTAGTTCTGGGTGGTTGCTGAGTTGTTTCACATGTTCTGAGTGGATGTTTGCACATTCCTTTGTTGTTGCTAGGGCGTTGTAATGTGGTTACCTGGGGTGGTCAAGTAGTAGCTACGTTGTTCTGGGTGGTTGCTAGTTCGCTCAAGTCAAAGTCTATTTGATGTTCTGGGCTCTAAACATGGCTAAGTATGTCATCCTGTCTACTGCACAAACATTGCAGTTGTTTAATACTTTAAATTGCCATTGTTATGTATGTGATTGCACATCACATAACAGACATCAAATGCATTGCAAATGCCGTTTCATGTTGCCTTTAAACAGTTAAATGAAACTTAAGGTCATCAGATTTAACCTTTCTGCCATGTCCTGAAGCTGCTCTGGTGGAACCGGGACACCGTTTACCGATCGGTCTCTGTGAATCTGTTGAAATGTCTGTCGGTGTCCCTCCAAATTCTTCAAAACCTCCTGCACAGAAAGCACAGTCATTGTTTTTAATTTTAGCAGCACAGTGATTGGATCAAGTCCCTTAAGAAAGAAAAAAAGTTCCAGCACCTACCATGTGCTGTTCCAGTTTTCTGTGGATGATGTTGGCCGTCTCTTCGTGGGCCTGTTGAATGGGTATGTCCTCTCTCAGGGAAAGTTCTGCCCGATGCAGCCAGGCTCCAATCACTCCTAGAGGGCCCGGCAAAGACTTATCCAGATGGATGTGCCAGTCTAAGAGCTGCACAAGCCACACAAAAGCATCGCAAATATCAAAAGGAGAGATCTGCTTTGAAAGCCGTTCACTGTCTGTGAGGTCCCTTCAAGCTGTCAAGTGTCTGGCCAGATTGCAGTGTCCGCTCTGTGGACTTCTCTGTTCCTTTAAACAAAAGCGTCTCTGTGTGTCTGTCCTCTTTCCTCAGTAATGAACCCTGTATCCATGGTCTACGCTCCAATTCACACTTCATTACAGCTAATGACAACCAGAGAAGCACAGCAGTAAGAGTTGAACTCTGAAGTAAAAACTATTTTCAAACATAATAGTGGATTTATGTACACAAAACAGACAAATATAACAGCTAATATTTACAATCTCCAGTTTAAATTAAAATATTAATATAATTAAATTAAACAACTATCCCTCGGTTTCACAGACAAGGCTTAATCCTAGTCGTTGACTAAAATGCATGTCTGGGCTGTTTTACCTGAAAGAATCTTACACTGACTGATCTTAAAATAGGTCAGTTCCATTATTTTGTCTGAAGATGCACACCAGTAGTGTTTTTTTCCTAATGTATGTTTATAAAAACTACTTTAATGTCTAATACTTAAACTACTTAAACTAAAAAGAGCATGATACTACGATATTTCCTCAAATTGTGATATCACACACCCCTAGTGAACAAACACTTTAATTACACTTGGTAAAGCACGTACCCTGACAGACACATGATCCCAGGCCTGTTTGACCACGGCCTGGTCCACTGACAGTTTGCCGTCCCTGTGTACCGGTTGCAGGAGAGACTCGATCTGTTTCTTTCTCATCTCATACTGCACACGGAAACTCTTAAAAGCCTGCAGTCAAAAAAGAAGGATGGAGGAGAAATAAATACATCTGACCTTATAGCAAACTCAAAACTCTTTTCAAATGCAAGAGTTTAGCCAATCATAATAGAGCACATTTGCTACTGAAGTCTTAAAAGCAGCAAAAACAGCCTGTTTAATTCTAAAGATCGTGGAAAATTCTCGTGTTCACCTGATATTTGTCGGTGAGACTCTCTTCAGATCCCTGTGCACGCAGTAAATCTCTCTCTAGCTGATCCAGCCAGATCTTCACCTCCCTCAGCACCTTGCGGTCCTCTCGCTGTGCACATCAGACAGAAAGAAACAATGATTTATCACTCGCTTAGCAGGTATTCAGCAAGAAACCCTTATAACAAAAACCCACAGAAGGTAACACAGCATTGTGAAACAATGAAAACTAAGAGAGAGTCCAATCCCAAAGAAGAGTAAAGAACATAACACGGAGCTGTTATGACCCTATGTATTAATATACACATACCTCAAGCATTAGCTCAATATCTTGTGGATCATACTGTCCAGGAGAGCAAAGGCACATCAAGAGATGCAAACACAACACAGTCAAGACGTTAGCAAGATAAAAGCCAGAGAAAGAGAGGAAACACGCAGAGAGTATCCACCACCGACAGACCATTCTCAGCAAACAGTGACATTTGTGTTATAATTGTCTCCAGAACTTACTACTCATTTAATGAACAAGATACTGATCTTATTTGGTACATTCAATTCTGTAAATTCTATAATGCAAAACAACATTTTAAACATATTATTTTTTTATTGTGAAATATTTGCTTTTTATCTGTCAGTGTACTGTACATGTGCTTATTTTCTGTTTTAATTTAATGAGAATTTTAAAAAGGATAAAATTGTATAGAATTAAAATAAATATATTGAATTAAACAATTATTCTACCTATTTTTTAAATAAAAATATTATGCGTCCACTATGTAGTTTTTAAAATGTTTATATTTTGTAAATATCAATATGTTTATATATATATAAAATGTCACTGTTCATTCACTTTCTGTTCTTATGCTGTGACATTTCTCCCTTTAATAAAAAATATGTTTTTAAAAAAATGTAATGCTTTTTGACTAAAACTTATTTGATGTAAATATGATTAGAAATGTTTGCACATATCTTTAACCCCAAATCATTTTAAATGTAACATGGTTTGCTCAAAACATGTTCTGAATGAGCAGTGTCTTGGGTTATTAATATTATTCACAGTTATACTGTGTAATTTATTAATAATTATTCAAAGTATTTATATGATCAATTATCCATTGTATTTTATATTCAATTATAAGCATATGTATGTTCATGTAATTTAGTAAGTTACTGTGATAGGGTTTAAATCATGTTTCCTACACTTTTCTAGCACATATGGCATTGTTTCTTGAGAATGTCCCATACACTAAATGAACCTCATGCTGGTGAGACGTAATCAACTCTTACCTGTAGAGCTGGGATAGAGAGCGCGAATGTAGGAATGGAACGAACCAGCTACAAATGCGCACGGCGAGTGACACAGACAGAGATACAGAGTGAGCACACAGAGCAATGCATTATGGGTGTGATTCTAGAGTAAAATGATTCCTTGAATGGATTCCACATTGTGATGGACTACAGTAGTGTTAGTGACTGATGAGGAAGCACTACAGCAGTGACTGCAGTAAATAACAACAGCAAGCGGCTAGTGTATTTTTAGCTCATACATGAGCATAAGCACTAGAGCGTACCTCCTCTTGCTGTCCATCTGTCTCGGATTGGTGGGGATCTGGGTAGTGCTTCAGGAACTGAGCTACGTATGTCATTATGGATTTCTCATCAGGCTTGTCCACATCCACATCTGCAATAAAAACAAACTAAAAGTTGGAGGTTTGAACCCCTCAAGGGGAAATCCTTGCGATATTACCATTCTGCTGTTTATGTATCTATGCATGCATGCATCTAGTTTTAGTTTGGGTTTTACTGTGCATCGTCAGGTGTTCCATAGGCTGTCATATGAGATGATCCACTGACCTGAAGAGTCAATTGAGGCTTTTTATAGCCTCTTCAAAGGGCCTCTTCAAAGATCACATCATGATGTCATACTAGTCTCTCTCTGATCTAGCCTGATGTCATGCTTGAATAGCAGCATGACCTACATAAGAAACTATAAGAGTGTCTGTCTGTAATGAGGCCTGATAATGAGCATCCCCAGTATAATTAAGCAGCGTCTATTCACATCAAACTCAAAACCAATGAGTGGCTCTTCAAAAGCACAACAGATCATTGACTGAATCTACATTATTAGCCACACAACATTAGTATTGGTGCTACATTCATGGAATCAGATGGTTATACCATATACTATCAGTGTTTCCCACAGACTTACACTCTATGTGTGGCGGCTTCCCCTGGGGGAAATATATATGTATATAATAATTTTATATCTGCTAAATGCATAAATTATATGTATATATACTTTTTGAAAGTGCAAATTCATTCTCTGCCAGCAGGAGGTGCTTTAGGAGCGGCAGAAACAGCCGTTTCCCCAGTAACGGCTGTAATCAAAACAGCGCTCTGCTCATAAACGCTGCTTTATCAGGCATTATAGGAAAGATTAGATGAAAATGACATCAAAACTTTCGGTTCCCTTCAAAAAAGATACATTCATATAAAAACAACCGTGCCGCGTTTTGATTTTGAAACGTGCAGTGCTCATGTTTATTCAACGAAGTCAAAGCCTTTTGGAAAATCAATTTGTGGCGGTCAGTGTTGATATTGTGGCGGGCAGCCACAAATAAACCAATGTATGGGAAACACTGTACTATACTATACACTATACTATATTATTACTATTATTATTATATTATTACAGTTTTTTTAAACATTTTATTTTTATATTTTAAATTTTCATTTTAATTTAATTTTTAATTAAGTTTTAGTAATTTTGTTGTGTATGTTTTTATTTGTTTTTTTAATATGGCTATATAATTTTTTTTTTATTTATTTATTTTTTTTTTCAGTTTTAGTTTTAGTTATTTTAGTACATCAAGTTGAACTAAATGAAAATAAATGTTGACTTGGCAACCATCTGAAATAAAACTTGGCAACCATCTGAAATAAAAATTAAAATAATTTATTTTATTTATATTTTATTTTATTTAAGTTAAAGGGGTCATATGATGCGATTTCAATTTTTCCTTTCTCTTTGAAGTGTTATAAGCTCTTGGTGCATAAAGAAGATCTGTAAAGTTGCAAAGACTAAAGTCTCAAATCCAAAGAGATATTCTTTATAAAAGTTAAGAGTCAACCACGCCTACCTAAAACGGCTCGTTCTAACACGCCCCCACATATCTACATCACTATGTGGGAAGATTTGCATAACCACCAAATACACAAAATAATGTTTTTTTAGCAACATCATATGACCCCTTTCATTTTTTATTTCAAGTAACAATTTTTTTTATGGTTTTAGTTTTAGTTAACTATAATATAACCCTGTATATATAATTGTACTGAATGATTCCTACATTAATATACCATGGTATTTCCTAATCCAAGATCATTTAAAAGAATGGCATTGTATTACCATTGTGCATGTCTAAAAAACATGGTATTCCCATAGATCCATTATAAAAAACATGGTAATATCACAGTGCTATTTTGTAAGTTGACATTGTAAGTTATATGTTGTTCATCTCAAAGGAAATTGGAGAGATTTTGGGGTAAAATAAGTCATATCAGTACCTTCAGGATCTAGTAAACGCGGTATTCCCAGTTCATTTTCTGCCACACTGAAAGCCTCTTCCAGGTTCTCACGATTACTTCTTTTTCTCACGATGTCCATGTCCACGAGTTCTGGACGAATGGCATGAATAACAGAATGGAAGGCCACACCGCTGCGCCAACTAACACCGAAGTCTTTAACTTCAATCCCAAGACGCCTTGAGAGAATAAATAATGACTCATTAGGGGCCTTATTGATACATTAGGCCTGTTTTTATACACAATTCTTGTAAGTTGACATATCCATTTCAAATGATCAATTTAAACCCTCAATAGAGCTCGTATTTATCTTAAAAATTCTCCTTCAGTTGGCAGAAATACTTGGTTGACATACTTGGTTGCTGTGCTTTGGACCCATCTGAGCAGGGCTTTTTTGGCATTGCCCTGAAACTTTGTCATCACTTTGCGTTTCATAGGTGGGCTTCCCGTCTCCGAGCTGGCCATGCTGTCCACCGAAGACGCACTGCTGGATAAAGCCTGAAGGGCTGGAAGATTACTGGTCAACTCCTCAATCTGCAAACGTTTGTGAGGGTAGACCCTTAAAACTCAGGTAAACACAGACATATGGCAATTTTCCAGATCCTACCACCATAATTGGCAAACATTACCTGAAAATAGAGGATAATGGTCCATATCAGCCCCAAGACAATGGACGGGCGTCCATCAGCAATGTCAGTGGCATTGATATTGACTAGTTTGATCTGGAAAATAAATATTTTGCATGTTAGAAAGTCTTAAATGGCTAAATCATTTGAAAATATCAATGTAACAGACATATTATCCACAGATCTGAGGTCAGTGCAAACAGGCCAGTCTAAACCAGCACTACCTGCTGATGAACCGTGCAGAATAAAACCAGGAACGTGCATAAAGTAAGTAAACAGGGTCCATTTTGATTTCATGTTGACTTGAAAAAAATTAAGTAGCCAGACATATTCACTTCTTAGGGAATAAGCAAATATGAATGCACGAGTATTTGAGGAACATGTGAGTGAAGAGGAAAAAAGCTATTTACTCATGGCCAACCAGTCATGGACATCAAAAGAGATGCTGTAGAAAAACAAGCTTTCTAAAAATAATTGCAGCTCTTTCAGCCAGTAGAAATAATGGAGTTGCTCACTTCATATGGTACGCATCATCAAATGCAGATATGTTTGTGAGAACTGTGACTAGGAAAAGTACTGACCGGAGACCCTCGGTACACAGACTGAGACAAGACATGATAGGAGAGAGGACAGAGTTAGAGACGCAGTTTGATGACAGACGCTGGACTGGGACATATGAACATATTCAATGATCAGATAAGACTGCAGATATGCCTGGATCATTCCTACTATGCAGTTCATTTAGCGTCAGTCAGATATTTTTTTATACTTTTATTTAGCAAGTATGCATTAAAGGAACACTCCACTATTTTTGAAAATAGGCTCATTTTTTAGCCATATGGCCTAGAAAATCGCAACTTTTCATTTTCCGTCGGTCTTAGTACACGATGTAACTACAGAAGAGTCAAGTTTTAAATAGGAAAAATATCGAAACTCTTTGGTCATTTTTGAGCGAGATGCTAACGGTCTAATCAGATTCAATGATCTATGCTAAGCTACAGCTAAAAGTGCTACCACCAGACCCGGAGATCGGCTGAATGGATTCGAAAATGGTAAAACTCAACTGTTTAACTCTAGGGGAGTTGGAAAATGAGCCTATTTTCAAAAATAGTGGAGTGTTCCTTTAAATTGATCAAAGGTTACAGTGAAGACATTTATAATGATACAAAATAATTTTTATTTTAAAATAAATTCTGTTCTTTTGAACTGTCTATTCATTAAAGAATCCTGAAAAAAAATAATTTATCAAGGTTTCCACAAAAATATTAAGCAGCACAACAATTTTCAACATTGATAATAATAACTGGTTGTTATTAGAATGATTTCTGAAGGATCACGTGACACTGAAGACTGGAGTAATGATGCTGAAAATTCAGCTTTGATCACAGGAATAACAGGAAGAACAATATAAATTTTACAATATATTGAAATAGAAAACAGTTATTTTAAATTGTAATAATATGTCACATATTACTTCTACTGTATTTTTATCAAATAAATGCCCCTTTGTTAAGGATAAACAAATCTTAAATATTTTTAAATAATAAAAAAAAAATTTTATATAGAATTTTTGAATGTAACTTTTTAAATAAAATATCTATTAAATATAAAAATAATACATTATTGTAATTGACAGTCAATTTATGTTTTTCTTCCATATCATGTCTTGTTTAAAAATTCCTATTTTTAAAAGGAGCTTTAATGACGTGGAAGTGGCATCATGTTTGGTAGGAAAACAAGTATTATCGATGGATTAAATGGATTCTGTGATGTTTTGTGCTGTTGGTTTGTGTCACTCTAAAACATATTTTATAATTGATAAATTTACACAAATCAGTTTAATATATCAAAAGATGGAAAATATGAAAGTTAATTTGAAAGTTCATGTAAACTATCTGTCAATTCCTCACTGAGCAAAGACTAACTTTAGCTTTAATTTCCATCCTGTTAATTTCTTGGCCTTGCCTGATCTTGACCAGAGCATATTTCTGACAGTCTGGTATATCCTATTCTAGAAATACTTCCTTAAATTATAGCACAAGTATATTCATTTTTAAAAGCTAGACTTTAAAAGGTAGTGCAAAAGAGGAATGACCCAGCTGGAAGTAGTGTTATACAGAATATCACCATTTATTAGGACAGATGAGCAGTTCAGTGAGACAGATGAGATAACCGGAGTGATCCTGGAGTCACCTACCTTCCTTCCCTCCAGGAACTTAAGAGCTGTGCCGATGTTGGACACCCAGTGGATCCTTTTGATTTGGCGACCCTGTTCGCATGGCTGCAGGGAAATACAAGAGGTTTTCAGGAGCAGGACCCATCATCTTGGCATTAAACAGACCTTGTCACTAAAGATGCACTGCAGCTGCTGCTGCACTCAATGCAGAGGTTTCACACAGGGATAATCTGCAGATATTGCATCACAGAAACACTTACTAATCTCTGTCCAGACAGCACCTCTAACAGAGCCAGCAGTTTCACCCCATCCTTGATGTCCTCAAAGAGGTCGTTGACTTCAAAAGGAGGTTTGTGCTGGAAATGGACAAAAAGAAGAGGGTCAAATAAACGGTGAACTTAATAAACCCTTATAGTGCTTTGATTACAAATCTGTTGGATGCTTCTGCTTTTGTGCTTCTCTGACTAATTTCTACTCTGAATAAATACATATAAATGCTTTTAGGTCATCAGAAATTCCTCTCTTCATTCCCAGAGGAATTTAAGTTTCTGGCTCAGAAAATGCTTTTTCATAGTTTGGGATACATAAAGTATAACATGTTCCCACTTATGTTTACTGCAGATGTTTGTCTTAAAGGAGTCATATGATGCGATTTCAATTTTTCCTTTCTCTTTGGGGTGTTACAAGCTGTTCGTGAATAGATAAGATCCATAAAGTTGCAAAGACTAAAGTCTCAAACCCAAAGATATATTCTTTATAAAAGTTAAGACCTGTCCATGCCCTCCTAAAATGGCTCGTTCTAACACGCCCCCACATGTCTACGTCACGATGTGGGAAGATTTGCATAACGCCGCCCAAATATTTACGCAAAGAAAGAAGGCGTAACTTTATTGTTGCTGCCACCACCTCGCGTTTTTAGAACGATGAGCTTTGTAAAAATCGACGCGTTTCAGAAAGGCGGGGCATAGAGGAGCAACAATCATGTACAGTATGTGGAAAATAATGTGTTTTTTGAACCTTAAACCGCATAAACACATTGCATTACACCAAATACACAAAATAATGTTCTTTTTTTAGCAACGTCATATGACCCCTTATAAAATGATTTCTCCATCTCACATCACACTTCAGCCAGAAGTGCCACGCAGCATTCAAACTTGCGATCACAGAAAGACTGAAACTACAATCTGTGTAGGCAGATGAAACTCGAACAAAAATAAACTGTAAATGCAAATTTATTTTTCATGTTGAAGCAGTGAAATATTCACAGGGAAATAGACAAAGGCAATATAAATGCTTTTTTATATAAATATGGTGATCGTTCAGTTTGATAAAAAAGTTCAGTAAAATGTTTTAAAAGAAATTATTACTTTTATTCAGCAAGAATACATTAAATTGACAATAAAGGCATGTCTAATGTTACTTAAGATTTATACGCTGTTTGAACTTTCTATTTATCATATAATACGTATTTCCACGCAAATATTAAGCAGCAAAACTGTTTTCAACATTAATGATAACGAGAGATGTTTGTTGAGCAGCAAATCAGCATATTAGAATGATTTCTGAAGGATCATGTGACACTGAAGACCGGAGTAATGATTGAATGATTTGTACCACAGGAATAAATGGCATTTTAAAATATATTGGAATACAAAACCATTACATTGAACTGTCATAATATTTCCCAATATTATCAAATAAATGCAGCCTTGGTGAGTATAAGATCTCACCGACCCCAAACTTATGAATGGTAGTGTACCAATGTACTATAGTACTACAATCTGACACCTGCATCATTGTACTGTCTCATATTTGTAAGAACTATTACTAGAATACAGTATATGATGCAGGTCTGAGTTTAGTTTGAAAATCTCAGCTCAGCTGCTTCTGTACAAACATCATAAAAAACTGCAAATGAGCTTTAAAATTTGCAAGGAAATGGACACAATAGGAAAAGATAACAGATCTGTCAGAGGTCAAACCAAAATAGACCATCATGAAAAGTCATGTGCAAACACATTTGCTTTGGTCATGATGACTATTGATAAAATTTAAAAAATAACGGAAAGGAAGCAAGAAATGTAAATTTAGATGTATTTTTGTTCAATAAAACAACAAAAAATAGAGACAGACAGGCCAACCAACGCACACACAGACAGCGACTAAATCTGGAAGAACAGCAGGCATCTGCAGACTCATGAAGCATTGCATAGCATATCCTGCAGCTCAGTTAGTATGCACCAAGCGTGTGCTTTCTATATGGACACTGCCTCACTGCAGTGGACCCACCGGCTGCACACATTACTCGGATTCTTCAAACTTTCATAGTCATGTTGTGCAGCAGATTGTGTGGAACAAAAGGCCCTTCGGTGCATTCTGTGCTGACTGGAATACTTAAACCCACCATTTGTGTCAGATTATCCTCTCTTTGTGCGCTGCAAAGTGCCCCGTCACCAAAGCAACTAATCACGCATAATGAGGAGAGAGGGAGGAGCAAATAAAACCACAACATCTCACTACAGCTCTACTTCAGTTTCTATATTCTGCATGTGGGTCATTGTACAAAACCATGTGACTTTAACAATGAATAGCTGATGTCATCATTTACTATGTGCTATTAAAGCATTTTCTTACCACATCAACAAAAGTATAGTGACTTCCTTCAATTTTCAATTGCTTTCTCTTTCTATTTCTTTAAGAGGATGTCTTTTTGGCCTGTCCCAAAAACTTTGCTTCTTCTCTTTGCTGTATTAGCGCACTTTTTGGTTAAGAAGTATTTTTATATTATGACATATGTCATAATTTTTTCATTAATCAAATTTATGACATAAAAGTTTAAATTATTATGAGATATAAAGTCATAATTGTGACATAAAAATTCATTATTTGTGGAAATGTCAAATTAAACTATAAAACATTCATTCTCAACCTTTCCGAAGGCATAAGTACATCCTAAAATATATAAAAGTATTTTTATGTCAATATTTTACACCATAATTACAACTTTGTCAGTTTAAATTTTTTTGTCATTGCTTTTTTGCTATAATTATGACATAATATCAATGTTTTACATCATAATTATGACTTTTTATGTCATATTCAACTTAATTAATTATGACAGTCATATTTATGGCAAAAAAGTCAGCACTTTACATCATAATTGTGACTTTTTATGACCTGATTACGTCATTACTTTTTTGCCATAATTATGATTTACCAAAGCATGTTTGGCTTCCATATATCTCACACATCACAACTTCATTTCAGAAATTCAGAGCACATTTTCAGAGATTTTTTTAATGCTCAGCCTACTAACACGAGATCACCCACTCATCTTGGCCATGGCAGTGGGACGCCATCACAACACAGCATTCATTCTCAAAGCACACAGCACAAACAGCGCCCTTCATGGTTTTTATAAGAGTATTATAGCATTACGCCTCCTCATTCACTGTTTACTGTCCTGCAAAACGATCAGCCTTTAATCATCTGAGCTTTACTCGGTTACACAGACATTTGCCCTTTAGAGTCATTATGACATTAGGCTACAAAGCAAATCACATGGACCATTCACTGTTCACGGATGATTGGTCAGGAAGACAGTAACATAGCCATCACTGCTTGAGACACTGGTGCAATTCCTCAGAGTAACACCAACAGTCTAGCATTATATAAAAAAGCTAAGACACTTAAGCCACAGTTAATGCCTAAATGTCACTGTATTAAAAAGCAAGTGTCATTTAGTTTAAAGAAAGATAGAACATGCACAATTTTTACAAAAACAAGTTTGCTAGGTTTTACATGATTAATATGTACACTACGGTTCAAAAGTTTGGAGTCGGAACGATTTTTATGTTTTTGAAAAATGTTTCACCAAAGCTGCATTTATTTGATCAAAAATACAGTAAAAACAGTAATATTGTGAAATAGTATTACAATTTCAAATAACTGTTTTCTATTTTAATATATTTCAAAATGTAATTTATTCCGATGATGGCAAAGCTGATTTTTTTATCAGCCATTTTTTTTATGCCATTAAACTTTTGATCAATTTAATGCATCCTTGCTGAATCAAAATATTAATTTCTTTCAACAACAACAAAAAAAATTTACTGACACCAAACTTTTGAATGGTAGTGTAGCTACTGTTCAAAACAATTTCAATTTGATTCAATTTGATTGTGGTTGTCAATCTGAGAAAAACATCACAGATCTACTAAAAATCATTGCCACACCAGTTGATTAAAACTCATTGCAAAAAACTGCTCAGAAAAATGAAAGCAAATGTTTTTGCAGCACTTCAGCACAAAAGACACTTGGTATTTGCTATATAATGCAATAACAAACAAGCATTTTTTTTTTACAAGTGGCCAAAGTGTCCCAGTAGTGTATTGGGTCACTGTTGTTGTTGTATTGTAATCCAGTGCAAATAGTACTACAAGCTAAATGTTGTGGCATTCGGATGAAAAAAACTGCAAAACATCTTACCTTGGCCAAGTGTGAATTAATCCACTTTGTGAAAGTTCTTTTCTGCACCGCCTCCTGTTCATCTGCAAAAGAGAGAAGCACAATAATCACATAAATGAGCAGATATGTTTTACGTTTCAATATCCAGTGAGATATTATGTTTTCCTGTCTTCTTCATCATGACTCACCTGGTTATTTTCTCATATTTGTGAGAAATAAATGCAAGAGGATTTACTACTGAATACTGTACATTTTCATTACTGAAAGTCTACGTTGAAAGCTAGAGAGGAGATATTCACCAGCAGAGGAGAGCTGAGCGTCCACACGTGGCATGAGCAAAAACATCGACATCATATCAGAAACATGTGCCAATATTCCCATTATTACATATATACTCAGCATAAACAACATAAATGCAGATTTTTAACAAAAACATACAGATATGCTCAGAATGTCTATTCATGTGCAATCTACAAGCTCTCAAGGACATAAGAGCGTTGCTAGAGCATTGCTATTCGGTTGCTAGGATGTTCTGAGCGGCTACCAGGCTGTTTCTATGGATTTGCATTGCTAGCACGTTTTGAGCAGATGAAATACTGTTACTATGGATTTGCAAAGATATTCTGCATGCCAGGCCAGGCCGTTGCTATGCAGCCATAAAGATGTTCTAAAGTGGTTGCTAATATGTGCTGGGTGGTTGTCAGGGTGTTGCGATGCAGTTGCTAGGATGTTTTGTGTGGTTGCCATGGCCTTGGAAATAGTCTGTAAATGTGTTCTGATGGTTGTCAGGGTGTTGCTATGCAGCCATAAAGATGTTCTAAGAGGTTGCTTAGATGTGCTGGGTGTTTGTCAGGGTGTTGCTATGCAGGATGATCTATGCTGTTGCCACAGCATTGCAAATAGTCTGCAAATGTGTTCTGGTGGTTGCCAGGATGTTATATGCAGCTATAAAGATATTCTAAATGGTCGTAATGGCACTGCTATGCTAGAGTGGTTGCCAGGGTGTTGCTAATAAGGTTGATAGGATGTTCTAAGCAGTAGCCAGGCTGTTGCTATGGAGTTGCAATGGTATTCTGTGTGGTTGCCAGGCCTTTGATTTGCAGTCATAAAGATGTTCTGAGTGGTTATTAGGGCATTGCTATGGAGTTGTTAGAATGTTCTATGTGGTTGCCAGGGTGTTGCTATGCGGTTTCTAGGATGCTCTGTGTTGTTGTCAAGGCATTGCAAAGGTATTTTGAGTGGATGCCAGGCCGTTCCTATGCAGTTGCAAACGTACTCTACATGGTTGTCAAGAAGTTTCTATGCAGCCATAAAGATGTTCTGAGTGGTTGCTAGCATGCCATGAATGGTTGCTAGAATATTCTGTGTGGCTGCAAAGGTGTTTGGAGTGGTTGCCAGGGTGTTGCCATGCAGTTGCAGGTGTTCTAAGTGGTTGCCAGTGTGTTGCCATGCGGTTGCAAAGGTGTTCTAAGTGGTTGTCAGGCTGTTGCTATGCAGCCATAAAGATGTTCTGAGTGGTTGTTATGGCACTGCTATGATACTAGGATGTTCTGTGTGGTTTCCAGGGTTTTGCCATGTAGTTATTAATGTGTGTTCTGAGTGGTTGCCAGGGTGTTGCTATGCGGTTGCAAAGTTGTTCTAAGTAGTTGCCAAGCCATTGCTACACAGTTCTAAAGGCGTTCTAAGTGGTTCCTAGGGTGTTGTGGGTGTTGCTAGGTGGTGTCCACCCCAAGTTTCTATAATATTCTTTTTCTGATTTTTTAAAAATTGTTTGCAAGGTGAAAGAAATTTAATACTGTAACTATTTAGTACTGTTCTAATCATTAACCCTAAGTATGAGCAATAGTGCTAGTGATGCTTGACTTCACAAACAGCAGTAATGAAAATTTGTGACATCTGTTAACACAATATACAAATCTTGCAGAGCATTTTTAGACACAGATAAGGTCATTCAGGTCACCAACAAACACCCACCAGACATATTTATGCGTGATAGGCTCAGACAGACCAGCCATATTCACAACAGACAGCATCCTATATTTGCATGCATGTTCTAATGCAATCCACGGGCCATGTTTAGGAAGCATCCATGTACAGTAGCACACATGGCATGCCGGTGCAGCCTTAAGCACACAACAGCCATCATAATCCAACATGCGCAACTGTAAAGAGGTTCGCATCAGCACTCGTGTGCAGCAGTGACCCGTGCCAACACGGTGATTACCTCACCCGAGGAGGAAGACGAGGAAGACCTCAGCTGGCCAATAATGTCTAGTGAGCCATATGACCCAGAGACGTGTCACTGCATATCTGGATCATGCATCTGTTTCACCTACATTCAGTGAAGCACAGACTACATGTAAATCTCCAGTCTGATCAGAGGAGATGTCGATGTCCCACTTACCGCGGAGATACTGAAAGAATCCCGTCACCAGATTCAGAGATGTGGTCTTTTTCACAGCTACGTCCTTAAAATGAGCCATTGTGCGCCCTGCATTCCCTCCGTTTCTTTGTGTCCTTCATGTGTGAAAGTGCATGCGTATCATCCAGGGAGGAAAACCAGATCAGCTATCATTTATTTCCTCTGGGAAGCAGAACAGAGCAGGCGGAGGAGCTTTCCGTGTGAAAACACAGCGCGACTGAGCGCTGGAGGATGAAACCTCCCCCTCCTCCTGTTGTCTCTCTCTCTCTCTCTCCCTCTCTGTCTCCTCCGCTGTGGATAGGCTGCTAATCGAGGGCAGTTTTTATGAGCCAGGCGACTTCCTGTTGTTGGTGGAGCTGGGGAGTCGTGCTGGTGTGGATGCTCTGTTCAGGTCTGTTCTAGGGGTCAGTACTCCTGCTACACAGCTTGAACTCCACCAGGCCTCCACTATGAGCACCGCGCAGACACCCTAATGCAGGAATGGCTTAACAAATAATCAGATTCATTGCAGTCCAGAATGCTATACAACAAAGGACTTATGACACAGTTACTGTGGGTTTGAATGTGTTTGCATGTAGTAAAGAAAGAAACAAAGCAAACAGAAAGTGGCAATTTTTGTACAATGAGACATTAAAATATTTTAATACATGTTTCTGGTCTTATTGTGTTCAATTAATTAATTAAACATTATTACGGGTGTTTGATGAGGCAAGAATCACTATTAATATTGCTTGGTATTTGTGATTTGAACAAACGACTAATACATAGTATTAAAATTTGGAACGTAATTTATCTTACAGCATTTTTTAAGCATTTATTAAACAGCACAATTGTTTTCAATTGTCACGAATCCGGTCCATGGACTTTCATCCAATGAACACAAGAGGTCGCTCTCTCACCATATTGACACTCACTCCACATAGACTGTCACACTTCACTCTGGACTACATCTCCCATGCTCCACTGCACTGATTGCGCACTCACCTGCATCCAATAACTCACACTATATAACACTCACTCTGATCCTGTTCTAGTCGCCGAGTATTGTATGCGTTTATCTCTCTCCAAGTGATAGCTACTCTATGGAGCCTAGTTTTCAGTTCCTAGTCATAATCTTGTCTTGCTTTTGATTCTTGCCTGTTTATTTTGAATACCCCTTTCGTCTTTCCATTCGAACTCTGTTTACGCCATGCCTGGATTATCGCCTGTTATTGGATTTACCGTTTGCCTCGTCCTCTGGATTACGTTTACCGTCGTTTGACCCACGCCTGTTTCACGGATTACTCTTCAGTCTCACCCTTGATATATCTGTTTGCCATTGTTTGACTCTTTATTGACCATGTCATTGAATAAAGCCATTGCAAGTGGATCCGCTCGCCTCACGTCTCTGTCACCCCGTTACATCAACACTGATAATAATAACAAATGTTTCTTGAGCAGCAAATCAGCATATTAGAATGATTTCTGAAGGATCATGTGACACTGAAGACTGGAGTAATGATGCTGAAAATTCCGCTTTTACATCCCAGGAATAAATTACATTTTACAATATATTCAAATACAGTTATTTTAAATTGTAATATTTTTTCATTATTTTATCACCTTTACTATTTAATCTAATAAATGCAGCCTTGTTGCACTCTTTTGAATGGCAGTATATTTAATATTCTGTTTCACTCAGAAATACATTTATGGGGTCATGTTGACTTTGAATCCTTTAAAGTCTTTTTAATTTTGTGTGCGTCTATGGCAAAATTCATTCATGTCATGAATTGAATCATACTGAATAACACATGCATTATTTGCAAATGGCTATAAGGCAACTGGGAACCAACTGCACTCAAAGTATTGAATCATTTATGTCACAGCCAGTGCAAAGCATCTGCCACCTGCTATGGTGCAGTCAGTGACTATATCACTCTATTATTCCTGACCATCAGCCACAGCATGAGCTCCAAACAAACCCAATCCACCACACAACATATTTATTTGCGTCCTGATATATATTTAGTTGTGCAATTATAAGACCATCTTATGACCAGAAATGGACATGCCTAGTGTTAAGTCTTTGTGTTGTCTTGTTTAATAAAACATGCTTTATTAAATTACTTAATTCAATCCCATGTTTTGGTGCGTTGAAACATAAGGGCTGTTCACAAACATAACTGTTCTTTCGCAAATCCACTTAAAGGAAAAATCCATTCTCTCGCCGCTCACTCACCGTGGCATAGTTCAGGTATTTATATCTCAAAAAGCCTTTTGTGTTAAAGATCGAGGAGTGTACCTTAAACTGTTTCCGTCACAGAAGATAATGTAATCAGTGAAATAAGTGCTACTCCCATCACATGCTCATCTAATGAGTCACGATTTGTTTCTATCAGTTAACAGGGTTAAAGCTCAGGGATCATTAAAACGGATTAAAAAGACCTGACATTGTGTGGATTAGAATAAGGTAAGAAAAGGCAATTTATTTATTATATCTAGCATACATATACTGTATAAATACATTTATATACAAACATATACACATATATTTACATGTATAAAAAAATCATAGATAGATAGATAGATAGATTCTGGTAAGTATTTGATGTACAGGTCAAAGGTCAAATTCCAGTTTGATAGATAGATAGATAGATAGATAGTGGAGCTGTCCAGTCCTGAAATATTATCGCAGAATAATGTAAAGGCTTTCAGGATACAATACTGACTTTAAGGATAAAATTTGCAAAAGTCCCACAGTTCTTCATCAGTAATCAATGGATGTGTTTAGCATCTACAGGCAATTCCAGTGCTGCAACACGACAAACTGGATTGTTCCCACAATAACCAAAAAAGCAGCTTTACCGATGGTCTACTAGTTCGTAGCATTGCCACTTGCACTCCCACCCAGTGTTAAGAATTAGAGTTAATTAAGTATTAATGAATGTACAGTCACTTTCAGTTTGCACGTAGAAATAAGAGAAACAAGTGAGTGGAGCATCTGAAATTTAAATGAGTGCATTCAACACAAACTCAGGACAGATGATATCATGGGCAACAGGTCAGATGTTACTGTCATCTGCTCAATGGAGTGCAGTCTTTAATATTCTACACATCACTCTTGCAGTTTCAAGGGAGAAATGCAAACGCTGATTTTGTCTATTAGGCCAAAAAAGGTGTATTAACAAAGATAAATGTATGATAAATATTTAGAAAAAATAAACACTGAGATACTGCCATCTAGTGTCCTTTTAAAAACATTCCGTGACTACATTAAATGGCCTACATCCAGATTCAAGCTATTTTGATCAACATACTGATAATAGTCAAGTCAAGTCACCTTTATTTATATATCGCTTAATACAATAAAGATAATTTCAAAGCAGCTTTGCAGTGATAAACAAGAAAATAATGATTCAATGATGCAAACAGAACTCATTTGTGCTGTAAAGCAGCTCTAATAAATCAATAAACACTCATTGTTTCTCATTGTTTTAACAATATATTGTAACAGTTACTGATATAATACCAACTGTTTTACAAGTCAATCAAGACAACAATCTTCTTCTACAAACTTTGCCTCAATAAAACAAGATCCTTAGAGAGTTTTCATCAGATATGTGTCTAAAGGAAATGGCTGCTGTATAAAAATCATTCGTGCCAATGAAAGGAAGATGGCAAACAGTTTTACCACACGCTCTGAACAGGCATGCGCCAGTCACCAAGGAGGAGGAAACCAAAAGAAATTATTCTGAAAACAGTAACCACAGACCTTCTGTCGCATAAACCACATGCCGCCTTATTCACTGTTGATGTGCCATGTTAACTAGCACACGCCTTTTCTGATGTGCCTTCAATGCAAAACACATTTGACCACATGCATGAACACACTTCAACTGAATTCACCTTATATGCAATCACTGTGTCGCCATCAAAAGCCAAATCTACTGCTCTACAAATGAATATGTACAAATAAAACCAAACTGCACATCAGAAACTCAACATGCACTATAAATCATTTTTACATCAAATGTGAGTGATGCTTGCCGGTGTAAAATTCACCGCTAATTTACTAGGATGGTTTCTAGGGTGTTGCTATTCAACTGATAATTTGTGAGTTTTATATGTGGGTGGGTTAGTTGGGTACTGTTTTATCTAATTAAACAAATGACCTACACTAAAGCTGAAAATGCAGTAATGACTGCATTGCATTGACAAATGAGTGACTCTTGAAATTTGTGGCGGTAAAAACAGAAGTGCGAGTTATCACGCATATGTAACTTCCTTCCTGATGTGTTTGAATACTAAGTTCCTCTATGTAGCTTAATGCTTCTTGTTTCATCTTGAAGACTTTTGCTGTGTCTCATTTAGAAGGCTGCGCCCTCCGGAGGTCGCATTTGAAGGCTGCATACGTCATTGAGACTGTCTCATTTCAGAAAAGCAAGTAGGACACTCCGAATGCGACCTTCTTTCACGGGAATTTGGAGGATGCATGAGGTGTATCCTTCGCTGATATATGCATCCTACAGAGGATGCCACCGCCAGAGGATTCGACCTCCGGAGGGCGCAGCCTTCTAAATGAGACACAGCTTATATGAGCATGTGGGTTGCCATGGTGATCAGAAATAAACATGAATTCTCCACAAGGAAGTAGCACAATATCCTCTACAGGTTACATAGGAAATGCATTAGAGGCTTTGAATAGGTGCATATGCCACTCACTTTTATTCTTGAGCTCCTTTAACTATTTATGAAGAGTGTTTTTCAGGACAAGACTGTGAGTTTTTGTAGGCTACTGTGAAAACGAATCCTCCATTAGTCATAAACAGATAAAATCTTAATGTTAGCGTGACATTAAACTTGGCAGTTTAGTTTCTTAAAACACCTTCCTGGTCTTATTACACATTATTTATCAGTGTGTGTTATTTTAAAGAAAAAGTCTTGTTTTCCAACCCCTTCCCCAAAACCACCTGCCATATACAGACACTTTTTACCATGCAATCCAATCACATCCTACATTTTCACTCCAAATATCATATCAAAGAAAAAATGAGTTTCAAATAGTTTCATGTTTATTTTAAATGAATTAAATTACATTAAAAGAATAAACTTTTTATTGAATTGTAATCACGTGTCAGAGGTAGTCACCTGCTTGCTTATGTATATTAGGCCTATTGTGTTACCCAGCATGCCTGGACATGGTTATTAATTTTAAAAGGAAGCTTTTATTATTGCTCTTTCCATATACTCTTGCTCTATTTGTTGTCATAAAAGCAGCTGAAATCATTCTTAAATCAATTAGTGAGCAGAAAATTTAACCAGCCTGATGCTGTTATTACTCTTCCATGAAAGCCCACGGCGAAACATCTGCTTTCACTTCATCACGGGATGAACACTCTCAAAGGTCTCACTGTGCTCGACCAACGGGTTGCCATCAAACCATTTTTTAAATCTATGTAGAGGGCCACAGGAATGAGATGACAGGACTAAATACAGCTCATTTGTGACCAGTTTTTATAGACTTGCCCCATCCACTGCCAACACTGAGTAACAGCCATCAGTCAATAAGAATGGACACACAATGCCAGGGAGTCCAAATATCGATCTGTTCCATCTTCCAAGGACAGGACATCTTCCAAAGAGGTGTCAGGTTCTACCTGTCCCCATACACACCACCTACTACAGAGTCCCTGTCCAACTCTTACACAAAAACACTAAACAATATGGGCATCAGGCATATCGGTCGGTCTGGGTGTTTTATTACAATGTATTATAGTATTACAGTATTTAATAATATTTACAATTAGCTTTTATGTGTAATATTTCCAGTTTTCAGTTTGTGCTTTTGTAATTTTTATTAGATTTAAACAATTTTTATTTCAGTTTTGGTCATTTTAGTACCATAATAACTCAACTTTATTTCAGTTAGTTGCCAAAGCAACATTTCTAATTTATTTATTTATTTTTAAGAGTAAAATTTTCACCTAATATTTATATTATATGTTATTTCAGCTTTATTTCCATTATCGAAAACTATTTTTAGTTTAAAAGAAATTAAGTTATACAGACATGAGGGTGAATAAATGATAAATCATTTTTGGGTGAACTGTCCCTTTAAGCATGTGATTTGGTGATGGATAATATTGAAGCTGGACAGCAAAACAGGTGGATTATGGAAACATTTTCCTATCAGCATGAGCCCTGCATCACAACGTCATCAATCACTCCCATAATAGCAATCATGTGTTTTTCTTGTGGGTGGTTTTATATTTTCCTTCCTCCAAAAATTGCAAAACATTTAAACCATTCCTTCCAGCTTAAAAGCATTACCCATAATGTTGGTAGGCACCATATCAGCAGCATTATGTCTTAACACATCCACCGTTTGATATGACATGGCAGAGTGCTCCAGTAAACTAAACCTTATCATAAAGAATGTAAATATCATCCAAGCAAGAAAGGTCAAACAAAAGTATTCCCTGCATGGCAACACAAGTGTTAGAAAAGGGCTTTTGTCAAGGACAACTTCATGTAAGAAAGAAACAATGATGACCTTCACGGGCTAAACTATTTTAAACACAAATCTAATCCCCAAAAACAACCATTACAAGAGCAATTTAACAATACAGCTCTTTGTAGTTAGATTACATGGCTTCTGTGCTATTTTAATTAAATGACCAATTTATTTCAGCACCAAGCAGACAAAATTAGGCCTAAAAATGTGCAGAAAGCAACACGACACAAATAGATCCTCTATTTCTGGTTAAATGGGAGAAAAACAACCTGTTCTCCTCAAGCACTGCAGTACAAAACCAGTCCATTCAAACCATCAGCTGTTAAACCAAGGTGTCCGCAAGCCATCATAATGAAAGTACATGATTTCCCTCGGGACATTTCTATGTTTGCAACACTGGCATAAGAGTAACATGAGCTGCATATGATGTCAACATTAGTTTAGAGATAAATGGACGGACACGCATAGCCGTTATGTAAAGCATCAATATTGATTTCTCAAGTGGGTAAGTTCTTGTGCTGTCAAATATAGTGCATTTGTGCACCATAGAGGCAAACTCTTGGAGTCAGCAAAATTCCTCCTGACTCATAGAGCCAGAGGACGGTTGTGGGAGGTAAAGAACAGAAATACAGCATCACCTACCTTGCAGCCTCTGCATCACATTCATAATGTCCTTGCTGGACCGTCCGAAAGGGCTGAGGGAAGCCATGGTCCCTCTCTACAGTCCTGTGCTCCTCTGACACCGGATCACTCATGCAGTCGGCACAGCAGAAAGCAGATATTGCACTACTTTCTTAAGGGGCATCCCCATCTGCCCCTCCTACAACTCTCTCTTCCTCTTGCTGCCTCTCTCTCACTCACGCTCTCTGATCCAGGAACTCCAGGAGCTTGATGTGGCCCAATAGAAAAGCAGGTTTCATATAGGTGCTTGACCAAGTAGTCGACCAATCAGAAGTCCTCTTCTATCTACAGTCAGTGAACCGAGAAGGAAAAGTAACCGCATGGGTGTCAGACAGAACAAAATCACACTGTAAAAAATATTTAGATGAGGTAACATAAAATAACAAGTTTAACTTAAGACATGACTTAGTCATTAATTATGACTAAATCAATATGGTTGCACAAACAAAACCAACTGTAGCCATTTTAGTGCCTTAACTTAAACTTATTTCAGTTAGCTGCCAAACCAACATTTTTCAGTTTTTCACCTAAAATGTTTAATGTTACTTCAGCTTTATTTCTATTACCAACCCCTATTTTTAATAGTTTAGGAAGAAGTAATAAAGTCATAAAGACATGAGGATGAATAAATGGTAACAGAATTTGCATTTTTGGGTGAACTATCCCTTTAAATGTGTGAATATATTGATGAATAATACTGAAACACAAACAAAAAACAGAAAACTGCACATTTTCACTTTTTACAGTTCAATAAACGTCATTGTGTTTCTATGTACTGTATACACTGTTTGCACACAGACCAGGCCCCTTTTACATCACTTAAGTTGTTATTATTTATTTATTATTATTATTTCTTTCCAGGTATAATAATTATAATCTATGGACTTACTGACTGATTACTATTATATGGAAAAGAACTTGAGTTATAAGACCTTATCCATAATTAAAGAAGTACTTGCCCACCAGGGATAACATTTCATCTTCATTGTGCATTGCTTCAAAATATATTTGCATGTATATTAATCAGCCAACTTTATGCACGTAAAAGAAACTCAGCAGCAAGATACATATCTGCAGTCAAAAGCATGCAAACAGATTACACCGGAAAATTTCCAAGAAAGCCAGCCCTGATTTATCAGACACTATATTTTTTTGTTTGTACAGTTGTTACTCTGTAGCGCGTGTATTACCGTGAGCAGATGACGCTTCCTTTCCCGCAGCGCTCTTGTGAGACACAATGTGACGATGGTGAAACTCTGTTAGACGGGTTGCTATGGAAACCTTTAAACAATGTTGCAAGGCCGTGTTACTTCATGTGACTTTTACCGCCACCTATCGGTGATAAAGGGAACAATAAAGGGGCGTTTACTGTACACAGGGCAACTCAATGAAAGAGAACAGAGACTAGATAGATAGATAGATAGATAGATAGCTAAACAATATGGGCACTGAGCATATCAGTTGATCTGGGTGTTTTATCACAATGTAGATTTTTACACTTCAAAGTAAGAGCAACGGTAATTTACGGCAACGGCTATTAATGAATTTATTTCAATTCTGCCATCCTTTACTTCCATTTATGACATTCAAAACCTGATTGTTTTAATGTTAAAGACCAAAAAAGATATTTTGATCAATACTGGAGCCTTTTGACTTTAATTATGGACCAAAAAAAAAAATATATATATATATATATATATATATATTGCATTCCAGAGAACAAACTGTGTTCTTCTGGTTTTATTTATATAGTATTATAGTATTTAAAAATATTTTAAATTAGCTTAGCTGAGATTTATTAGCTTTAATTTAGTTTTTATTTCAGTTTTAGTAATTTTACTACATTAACCTTATTTGTTATATTTGCCAAATCAACATTTCTCATTTTTATTTAAGTTTTTTAAGCTTACATTTTTCATCTAATATTTATATTTTATGTTATTTCAGCTTTATTTCAATAATAGTTCAAGATTTAGTTAAATACAATAACAACCGAAGAAATAAAGCCATACAGCCATACATACAACATTCATTTTTGGGTGAACTGTCCCATTAAGCATATGAATTTGATGATGGATAATATTGAAGCTTCCCAGCAAAACAGGTGGATTATGGAAACATTTTCCTATCAGCATGAGCCCTGCATCACAACGTCATCAATCACTCCCATAATAGCAATCATGTGTTTTTCTTGTGGGTGGTTTTATATTTTCCTTCCTCCAAAAATTGCAAAACATTTAAACCATTCCTTCCAGCTTAAAAGCATTACCCATAATGTTGGTAGGCACCATATCGGCAGCATTATGTCTTAACACATCCACCGTTTGATATGACATGGCAGAGTGCTCCAGTAAACTAAACCTTATCATAAAGAATGTAAATATCATCCAAGCAAGAAAGGTCAAACAAAAGTATTCCCTGCATGGCAACACAAGTGTTAGAAAAGGGCTTTTGTCAAGGACAACTTCATGTAAGAAAGAAACAATGATGACCTTCACGGGCTAAACTATTTTAAACACAAATCTAATCCCCAAAAACAACCATTACAAGAGCAATTTAACAATACAGCTCTTTGTAGTTAGATTACATGGCTTCTGTGCTATTTTAATTAAATGACCAATTTATTTCAGCACCAAGCAGACAAAATTAGGCCTAAAAATGTGCAGAAAGCAACACGACACAAATAGATCCTCTATTTCTGGTTAAATGGGAGAAAAACAACCTGTTCTCCTCAAGCACTGCAGTACAAAACCAGTCCATTCAAACCATCAGCTGTTAAACCAAGGTGTCCGCAAGCCATCATAATGAAAGTACATGATTTCCCTCGGGACATTTCTATGTTTGCAACACTGGCATAAGAGTAACATGAGCTGCATATGATGTCAACATTAGTTTAGAGATAAATGGACGGACACGCATAGCCGTTATGTAAAGCATCAATATTGATTTCTCAAGTGGGTAAGTTCTTGTGCTGTCAAATATAGTGCATTTGTGCACCATAGAGGCAAACTCTTGGAGTCAGCAAAATTCCTCCTGACTCATAGAGCCAGAGGACGGTTGTGGGAGGTAAAGAACAGAAATACAGCATCACCTACCTTGCAGCCTCTGCATCACATTCATAATGTCCTTGCTGGACCGTCCGAAAGGGCTGAGGGAAGCCATGGTCCCTCTCTACAGTCCTGTGCTCCTCTGACACCGGATCACTCATGCAGTCGGCACAGCAGAAAGCAGATATTGCACTACTTTCTTAAGGGGCATCCCCATCTGCCCCTCCTACAACTCTCTCTTCCTCTTGCTGCCTCTCTCTCACTCACGCTCTCTGATCCAGGAACTCCAGGAGCTTGATGTGGCCCAATAGAAAAGCAGGTTTCATATAGGTGCTCACCAAAGTAGTCGACCAATCAGAAGTCCTCTTCTATCTACAGTCAGTGAACCGAGAAGGAAAAGTAACCGCATGGGTGTCAGACAGAACAAAATCACACTGTAAAAAATATTTAGATGAGGTAACATAAAATAACAAGTTTAACTTAAGACATGACTTAGTCATTAATTATGACTAAATCAATATGGTTGCACAAACAAAACCAACTGTAGCCATTTTAGTGCCTTAACTTAAACTTATTTCAGTTAGCTGCCAAACCAACATTTTTCAGTTTTTCACCTAAAATGTTTAATGTTACTTCAGCTTTATTTCTATTACCAACCCCTATTTTTAATAGTTTAGGAAGAAGTAATAAAGTCATAAAGACATGAGGATGAATAAATGGTAACAGAATTTGCATTTTTGGGTGAACTATCCCTTTAAACGTGTGAATATATTGATGAATAATACTGAAACACAAACAAAAAACAGAAAACTGCACATTTTCACTTTTTACAGTTCAATAAACGTCATTGTGTTTCTATGTACTGTATACACTGTTTGCACACAGACCAGGCCCCTTTTACATCACTTAAGTTGTTATTATTTATTTATTATTATTATTTCTTTCCAGGTATAATAATTATAATCTATGGACTTACTGACTGATTACTATTATATGGAAAAGAACTTGAGTTATAAGAGCTTATCCATAATTAAAGAAGTCCTTGCCCACCAGGGATAACATTTCATCTTCATTGTGCATTGCTTCAAAATATATTTGCATGTATATTAATCAGCCAACTTTATGCACGTAAAAGAAACTCAGCAGCAAGATACATATCTGCAGTCAAAAGCATGCAAACAGATTACACCGGAAAATTTCCAAGAAAGCCAGCCCTGATTTATCAGACACTATATTTTTTTGTTTGTACAGTTGTTACTCTGTAGCGCGTGTATTACCGTGAGCAGATGACGCTTCCTTTCCCGCAGCGCTCTTGTGAGATCTCATGTGACGATGGTGAAACTCTGTTAGACGGGTTGCTATGGAAACCTTTAAACAATGTTGCAAGGCCGTGTTACTTCATGTGACTTTTACCGCCACCTATCGGTGATAAAGGGAACAATAAAGGGGCGTTTACTGTACACAGGGCAACTCAATGAAAGAGAACACATTACCACCCAGTATCTACATCACGGGCTGCATGGTTCAATAATGACATCTACTGGCCATTCCTGTTTTTGTAATTAACTCAGAGCATGGATGTCCTCCTATTGTTTTAGGATAAAATTGTCCTTCCCTCAAATATTTGCAAGAACCAGTACACCAGGAGGTATCAGTGACTGGGAATTCTGTTGAATTCGGACAATGCATACCCTCTCCCTGTTTCTTCTGAGAAGACGTGCATTTTTAGGCATTTAGTTATATTACTTTAAAGTGGGTATCTGTAAGAATATTATGATTTGGTTCTCTGTTCATGAAACATACAGTGATATGCCAGAAGGTACAGATACTAGGGCAGTAAGGAAATCTCCTCTGACAACTAAGAACTTATCGCCTAGGAGTTTTCTTTTGGGAACTGTGTCAAATCGAAACTTCAGAAATGTATTGTTCCGTTTTTATCTACATAAGTATTTGTTTTTATCTTCACTCAATCTCAAAACAAATCTACAGAAGAACATTTAAAGTGCGGAAAGGTCTAAAAAAAATGGTGTAAGTTGGTCTATTATAATATAATGGGGTGAAGAAGCCATTGTATTGTGTCCGTTGAAGCGAAGGAAATGATGCAAGAGGAAA